GTGCGGCTCTTCCCTGACCCTGCATAAACGCGAGATGTTTCGTACGTTGGGCCACTCTTTTAACAACCAGCTTGCCTTATGTTCAGTTTGAGACAGTGGCGGAGCCATCTTATAGGAAGGGGTGTCAAATGACACCTCTTCGTCGAAAAAATACACTGTGTAGGTAGGTAAAAAAATAAATTATATATCATGGTAAATTATGCACTCCTTTGCTCTTTAGTCTTACGTGTATAATTTCATCTCTCAAATTTGGTTTGTAGTATTGCTCATCCTAACGGATTTTGAGTGGAACTTTTGAATGGTTGTCAAGTTTAACAATTATATTCGTTCATATATATATATATATGTGTGTATGAGTATTCTCAATATAGGAACATGCACTTAAACATAAGAAATTTTAATCTACAGTTCTGATAGTTCAACATTTGCTGCAACAATCACACCGAAATCGTACTACAAATATGAATTGTATCACCTAATTTAATTTCTCCCACTTGCCAGAAATCACTGAACTCATACATGTGGATTTATGCACAACTTTCCCTAACCAAATAGTAACAGCATATATTTCACATGAACCGATCATTCATCCTTATTCCTTAGTGTCATGAACATGAATATTGAGCCGTCTGAGCCAAATGGAATGAAGAATCATATGAAAAACATCATATCTTCGAGGAGGAAAATTTACCTCAAAATGTCTCCTTACTTCAAGTCCTCTCTTCTGCATTTTGATGTACTGTCTTTGAGGTATTGCAGTCAAGATTTTCTTCAGATTAGGTATATCGTTCGAACTCATTTCAACAGCAAAACTTTTCCAGTTCAATACATCACTAAATGGCGCGACATAATGATCCTTTAAGAGTATCGGAACACACCCCATGTAAAGTGCCTCGACCATTCTCGGGCTAGCTACTTCCCAACCACTCGGGCAAATACAATACTTACTCGTTCTAATCATGCCATAGTACGACACATTCTTCGGAAGGTACTCGTGTATTTGCACGTCTGGATCATCGTTCTTTCCCCAATGCTCCATTAGCACTTGCCTTATGTAGCCATGAATACCTCCCGCATAGAAAACTAAAACAGAACGATGTGATGGAGACGGCCCTCCAATTAATCCATCCGTTGTACCTCGAGGGAGATAGATTTCTGGCAACGATACATCCTTGATAGGATTGAATCTTTCAGATGTATTTGCATTACATAGAACTCTTATTGAGTTCTTGTACAAGTAAGGATTAGCTAAGGAAATTCTAGGACCCTGCGATATGGAAATTATATAAGAAGAATTAAGCACTGTCTCCCGTAAATATCAAAGAAAACAACCTCAAAATAATCTCAAGACTTGTAATAAAATTGTGCAAAGCTAATTATCATAAGTCATGATTCTTGGGCCGTTTCTCGACTATCAAGCCCCAGATGTTCAATTGAACCAGTATTTTCGACAACTAGAACACTAGTAGCGGGCACACCATGGATAACGTATTTTACGTTGTGGATGCAATAACGTATTTGCAACGCCATTGATATCTGGCAGGACAACTAGAACAGTAGCAGCGGGAACAACACCAAAATTGGTAGCACCATAAAAAAAATTTAGCAGCGGGGACAACACCAAATACGTTATTGCATCCACAAATAAATGATTCAACTGAACCAGTATTTTCGGCACAGACGTTCAACATAAGAACTTAAAGATCGAAAATATCAAGTTTAAATTCTGACTAAATAGTTTCTGCAAATTAGAGATTCCTTACCCAATCATGGCAAGCAAGCATAAAGTGATCAGATCCAAGGCTTCTGTTCCAATAAGGGTATTTTCTTGAGATATTATCAATATAATCTGCTGCTGTATTCCGCATAGGACCCCATTCCCGAGAATCGACAACATAAACATAGCTTACTATTGACAATACACTGAAGGGAAGGAAGTAAACATGGGCTTTTTCAGGATCATTAGTCCTAAACTTGCTAATCTCAAGCTGATGAATTAGAATTCCTTCAATTCCTAGTATTCCTTGACTAGCACTATAGTGAAAAACAGGGGGTTCACCTTCCTCATATACATATATCTTGAAATGTTTTTCCATTTCCAAGTAGCTCCTACAATTCCCAAATAAACAATCTTAATTTCATAGACAAAAGTTGAAGAATTTTAATTCCAGTTCAGTTCCATACTCAAAAATTCAAGAATCTTTGCACCTTAGGAAAAAAGAATCTTTGCACCAGCTCAATTCTATAGTCAAAATTTCAAGAATTTTAATTCCAACAACAATAAAAACATAACCAATATACTCTCACCGTGTAGGGCCTGAGAAGGGTGATGTGTACGGCATTAGTCAAAAATTTTACTAAGGGGAGTCAAAATATAAATAAGTAAGCATGCGGAGAAATTAAGGGGAGTCAACGTATAGTATTATACATAAAAAAAAAAAAAAAAAAAAATTTAACCTATCAATGCAGTGTGATTTTTCGTATCAATCGGCTTCCCTTGCTAAGGAGTGGCTCGGCCACTGTGTGTACGCAGACCTTACCCGTACTTTGTGGAAGGGGTAAGACCCTCAGCTCAAGAAAAACAATTCACAGCACGTTTGAAAAAGAAAAGCAATAGTGAAGAATTTTAATTCCATAGTCAAAAATTCAAGAATCTTTGCACCTAACTCAATCCTGTAGTCAAAATATCAAGAATATTAATTCCATAGTCAAAAATTCAAGAATCTTTCACCAACTCAATTCTATAACAAAAGTTCAAGAATCTTAATTCCATAGTCAAAAGTTTTTAAACAATGTTAAAAGCTAGTAGTAATATATACCTGTGGAAAGCAGTAGGATTCCAGTAAATTGGACCAGTAGGAACATACTCAGGATCATCAAATGTTTGATTTTTACTCTGAGCTTGTTTTATAGCAGCTCTTGCTCGTACAAGACCAGCTTCAATCCTCTCTAAACTGTTCAATTTCTTTTGTAATTTAGCAATTGGTGTTGGATTATTGTGTTTGCTCTTATTATTGGAAGTAACATTTGTTGCTAAAAACTGAGAAAAATTGCCAAAAGAATGGACCAAACGGAAGGTACTTGAACTTTGTAAACCAAAATAAAGAGACACTAAAATCAATGAAACTGAAATTAACCACACAACTCTGCTACTACTAGAAGAAGTAGAATCCATTTCTTTGGCGTTACTAATTGAACTCAGTATTATTTCATATTTGCATAAAATGACATGAAATAAGTTACGTATATTATGGTTTGACATTTGTTGGGGTAAAGTGAAAGCAAAGGAAGCGGCCACATCTTGGGGATAATCAAATACACATGACGTATGTCTCCTGCCATGCGTCTTTGTTTCCACGTTATTAGTTTAATTTTGTCACCTTATGGCATATTTTCCATGCAAAAATAAGAAAACGATAAAAACTCATTAAATTTCGGGGAATAATTTATAATCCATTAAAAAAGTTTATATAATATCACATGCATGAGATCAGTAAATATTTTGTTAACATTATAATCGGTCATAAGAGATTATTATTTCCTCCTAAATTTTTGAATTTTGTAATAAAAAGTGCATTAACTCCTTATGAGTAGCGAAGCTAGAAATTTTGCAAGGGTGTTCAAGATTTAATATACGTATGTAAAAAGTAATTTTTATTTATATACATAATATAATTTCTTATATACACAGTATAATTTTTCAATGAAAGGTGTTCAATTACCACCAAAGGATGTGGTGCAGTGGATGGGACTGCTCCTCCCTTAACCAGAGGTCTTGGGTTCGAACCCTAGGTATGGAAATATCCTTGGTAGGGAGCGCTTCCTCGCGAATGGGGCCCTACGCGGCGCAAATCCGTATATAGGCGGACTCCAATGCGGATACCGGACACTGGGTGGAAAACCAAAAAAAAAAAAAAGTGTTCAATTGACCACTTTTTATTGCATGTGGCTACGCCATTGTCCTTATATTTTGCTAAAATGAAAATGGTTGAAAATTCATCAATTTAGCGGCGAAATTACAAACTAAACTGCCAAATAAGATAATATTGGCCAATTTATTTGGTAGTGCTTTTTGCAAACAAATTGTGTTTGGCCAATCATTTCAAAAAGTATTTTTGAGTATCAAATTACAAAAAAGGACTATAAAAGTTTAGCTTGCAATTAGTATTATTTAAAAGAGATAAATAAATTTAAATATTTATTAGAAAAAAATTTAAAATTTTAATCAATATAAAATATAGTTATTCCAAATCGATAATATTGGGGTATTTAGTATTATTTATCGTTTACATGATGATTAAAATGTATCAAAAAAATTCAAAATACATCATTCAATATAACATAAAAATCTACTCTTATAAATCACTATATAAAAGAAGATAACTATTTATAGTAGAGAGAATATTCCAAAGAGAAATAGGAGAGAGAGGATATGATAGAATAAAAAAGAGAAGAAATTATGGTAAAAAGAGAAAAATAAAATAGAAGTGTTAAATTAATGAGGGATAATTTAAAAAATATAAATTTAATGTATGAATATGTTTGTCTTGGATAAATTAAGAAGGCAAGAATTTGTAACTTCTCCCCAAAAGCTTGCCGCTCAAAAGCACTTTTTTATTTTGTCAAACATCTTAGCTAGCGTTTGGCCATAGATCCCAAATTTATTTTGAAAAATCTGATTTGGTTAAAGTTTGGTTTGAAGATGAAAATGTGTTTGGACATACGTTTTCAAAACATATTTTCCAACTTTATTTTGGAAAAACGTGTATATAATTCCCAAGTTTTGGGATTTTGGCCCAAAAAATCAGCTCAATAGCTGATTTTGGGATTTGGCCAAAATATGGGCAAAATTTATGGCCAAACATGAGTTTTGAAAATAAATCCCAAATTTATTTTATCAAAAAGTACTTTTAGCTTCCCATAAGCTTGGCCAAACAGGCTCTTAGAAGCACAAGAAGCATATTAAAGAAGTAAAGGAATTTATATGGACTTGCCAAGAGTTTCAAGTAATATATGGTGCTATAATGCCTCCTTTAACTGTACATGGCTTAATTACCAAAGACACAACATGACGATATACCAAAAATATAGAGATTAGATCTCTTAGTGAGATGAACTGGTTAAAGCTGCTGTATACAAGTATCATTAATTTGACCAAGGAATTTGACAATTTTTAGTCCTAGTTAATAGCCATATTCCCCATCACAGCCTCCATAGCCTCTTTCCTTTCCTTCACACTCTTAATCTGCTCAAAGTTTTCAGTACCAGTGGCTGTAGGCTGTGCATCAGGCACGCGAGGTTCCAAACTGTTGGGACCTGTGTTCATCCATGGATGAAGAAGGCACTGAGCTGCAGTTGGCCGTTTCTCTGGGACAAAATCAAGTATTGGTATCAGGAAATCAGCAAAATCCCTTGCATCTTGCTCGCTGAATTCGTATTTCTCTACAAGGACCTTATCTAAGGGCCAAAAGCGTAACCGTCTGATGTGCCTCAAGTCACCATGTCTATTGAAGAACTCACGTGAATAACGGCCACCCAAGGCAATCTGGAAAGGACATAACATGTCGATAAAATGACTGCACATAAGTGTAACAACTTTGAAGTGGTTAAAGGTGCTTTCTCTTACTTTTCGGGGCATTGTTCCGAGAAGCTCCATCATTAGTGCTAGGTGGTCCTGCCAACCCGAGAAGCTTTGAGTAAATATATGTAGGCTATGCTCAAAGTTAAATTAAGTACTAAATCACAATAACAGTGGCTTTGGCAAGATTACATCAACAAAAAAGAACCATAAAGAGATCTTTATATCCAGGATAAGGAAACTAGAAATTCATCATAAAAAGGAATTGAGTTATGAGTCAATCCAAATAAAGGTCATCTCCGCATTTGGTCAAGTTCTATTTTGATCCCATGTATTTCAATTTGGCACAGAATTCTAGGTCCATGTAGCTTCCAAAACTTGGAGAAGACCACGAGGAACAAGATAGTTTGACATACACTAGGCATAATTTCCACAATCCTCGTGATTAAGCCCTTTCTAGTTGCAATTTCACTTCTCTTCATCTTCTACCGCTGACTCCTTGCAATATCCATAAGTTCCTATTTCTACCTCTTGCACCTCCCCCCACCCTCCCAATTGTAAATACTTAGTGACAAACTTCATATACGCATTTCTCCGTGAATAAGTGGAGAACATGGATTTTAAGACGGGTTTAATTGATTTTTATAGGATTTCAAATTCACAAGCAGCAAAAGGAAGCTAAGGTTAGATTAGCCAATTCAGCTTGTAACTAGGAAGCCTTTCGGGCGTCACTCTACATTTAAGGTGCAAGGCATGCCATGAGCATCGGTTCAACAGCTGGAGTGTTCGTCCAATGAATTCTTGCACCTACCTTTACCACCCTTGGGTTGCTTCCGGCGTGCACCGCCTAAGGGATGCACCTGGAAAACACCTATTACTAGTTAGTATCACCAGGTTTTTGCTGACCAATTTGTATACCTACCTCATTAAGACTTCTCAAATATCTTGCTTCAAATTTTCTTTTCAAACCTTTCTGGTTACCCTTTGAAAAGATAATTCAAGCAGCAAGTTCAGAGATAACATAGACTATTGTCGAACTCACTTTTGCTCTTTAACAAATTTAAGTATCTTCTTTTCATAACCATGGTGTCCGGGCCAGCTTGCACACACCTCGACTAATTTCACGGGTTACCTACTACTTCCCACCAGCTCAGGTACCGGGTAACTCTATTCAATAAAACCACAAAACATGAAAAACACAACATGTTCTCTTAACCCTTATTTGGCAATAAAAGAGCAAAGTCAACATAACATCACATAAAGAAACTAGAAAAAAACACCAAATGCATATTCGACCTCCTTATTCATACAAATACTACTGGCTTGTGCAAATACCAAATACATTCTGCGGAATGCACTTAAGGAATGTTACTCAAATACATAAAGCTCAAAAACTGCTATAGAACATATTGAGTTTAAGCTTCTGTTGTGAAATAATCTGTTCAAAAAATTAAATATATGTTAGCAAGTCCGTAAAGCTCACAAAACTACAATATAGCTTATTTAACTCAAAAAAGACGCATAAAATTGAATATGTAGCAGTCGATAGAAATTTATGTTCAACAAGAAGGATTAAACAAATATGTATGGGCAGTGCCTGTAAGGAAAAGTAGATGAACAGTTCTTATGTTGTTTTAACCCATGTTTAGCCATAAGATGGTTAATACCCCATATATGCTTTTAAATAATCAAGCTTCCGGAAGAAACCAGATGAACTACACGCCAACAAGTATCTCCTGACTAGACTATTAGTCTGCCAGTATATCCTTACTTCAGAAGGGTAATATAATTCTAGCTCATAGAGAAAGAACAGACAGAATTCAGCTCCTGCCCTCCTTTGCTCACTTAACTCCATAGCAATGTGCTTATTGTATTTTTAGTATAAAATGACCAAGTATCAGGTCAATACATTGTCCTTTCTTGAAACATAGAAACAGACCTTGGAAAAAAAAACATATAGTAGTAACTGTCGGGGAGTAATGCATTCATAAATATCATACCTCATCTCTATCGAAGTTGTCACCACTGTGAGGATCAAACAACATATCACCAGTGGCAAGCTCAAAACAAATGCAAGCAAAGGACCAAAGATCTGCTGAGGTTGAATATTTTGACCCAAGAATAACTTCAGGACACCTATACTGCCTCGTCTGAATATTATCTGTGAACTGTTTGTATGTCCAACAAGCATTCCCAAAATCAACCAATTTGCATTTTAGGTCAACAGACTCCAATGTCTTCCTCCTTCTAGAACCACTGCCTCTCTTGGAACCCACATGTTCTTTCCCACTAGCTGTTGCAGCATCAGCATTAGACGATCTATTAACACTAGCTAAACCAACAAGCTGATCAATTGGGAAATCTGCATTTGATTTTGCATTGAGAGACGACTCAACAGCTTTCTTCCCTGCAAAACCTTGAGCTGCTTCTTTGGCCTTTCTTCTGATCTTCTTCTTTTGGTTCTTATTTACATTCCCATTGAATGTTACATGACCCTTCACGTCCTTATTGTCAGGAAGAATAAGAGGGGCTCCTGATTTTCTCGGATCCTTGGACGGATCAATCATGGAACAGAGAAGAATGTTCTCTGGTTTCAAATCAGTGTGTATGATAGAAAGCTGTCGGTGTAAATAATCCAAACCCACTAGAACATGGAAACAGAGTTCTTTAACCTTGTGAATAGGAAGTCCTTTGTAACCAGTATATTTAATAAGTGTCAAGAGATTGTCACCTAAATTCTCAAAAACCATACACACATGTTGGCCGTTTGGACCTGAGTGCTTAAAATGATCCAGTAACTTCACTACACTTTTATTCCCGTCTGGATCACCTTCTGTAATCTGCTTTAGAATTGTTATCTCATCCAATGCTGCCTCCGTGTAGTGTTGTGCACTCTTTTGCACCTTCAATGCTACGAATTGCTGCATATTGACAAAAACATATACACAAAAACATTAGTACTTGCCATGATAGAAATAAATTCCAAACAAATAAGAGTTACTAGCAAGTCAAAAAAACAAACCTTAGTCCTTCTAATGAGACTTTTGCAAGAGCTATAAGCTAACATTCACGCTTATGCACAATTAGGTGAGCTAGGCCAATTCTAACATAAAACATAGCACTTGATAGACAACTAATATTAGAGTAAAGAGCTAGAATAGAGAAGCCCCATCGAAAGTAATACATGCTAGGAAATCTCAAGAAATCAAAGAGTCAAGCATTTATTCATCCTCTAATTATCCATTAACACTAAAGCTCATAATCCTCCAGAAAATGAATCCGAATCTTCAGTTTAAACAATGAATATGTAGTTCAAAAATAGCTTCAAGATTTATACGGATTTAAGTTATATACACTAACAGTGTAAACTATTTCTACACCATCAGCTCAATTTAACCGGCTAAAACGTGTAATTGCTCTATTTTCTAGGTTACCATATCAAGCTCGCAATGAAGATTTACATGCCTAGTAAGTCAACTTAACTCGATGCTGTAAAATTTTACACTCTGACAGCACAGAACTTAAATTAATACTATGCCTGTATCCATTAGCATAAAAAAGCGGTACTCCACAATCCCTAACATTAAATGAAGATATATCTACAGCACCAAAAGATGAATAAAAAAGAGAAGGTGAAAGCGAAAAAAACGTACGGACATGAGAGTATCCCAAGCGAGCCAAACAGTGGAGAAATGGCCCCAACCGAGCTTGCTTTGAACGATATAGCGGCCGCCTTTGAAAGCATCGCCTATTCGAACGGCATGATAACCTCCTCGCCTGTAATCATCTGTGCCTTCATCTTCCGAAGAAGAAGTACAATCATCACTGCTCTCTTCAATCATCTCCTCTTCTTCTTCCTTTAACCTCTGATCCTCACCGTATATCTCCATTTTTAATCAATTCTCTGTATCAATAATTAAAGTGGATTTAGTTGTTGAATTTGTGAAGTTTGGTGAAGAATTTTCTCAACCAATTTCCTCTGTTTCTGTGCTACTTTTTAACTTTCGCAGTTAAAAAGGGAAAATTGCATTCATATACGAAAACGCCCTTGTGCTACAGTCTTGTTGGGAAGAAACAGAGTGTCTGAAATGAAGATGATGAAGCAAGTACAAGTGGACTTCCTCCAGATTATATCACTAATAATTAATTCAGTGATAAAAAATTTATTTTAAATGAATCATTATGCAGATAAATTTTTGCAGTGAGATATAAGGGTGTCAATGAATCTCTAAAAATCTGAATCATTATGCTAAACTGATTTTTAGGGTTTTTTTTTTAATTAAATTATAGATTTTTATTTTTCTAAGTTACCGAATTATTACGTAGATTTCTAATTTTACAGAAATAAGAAGAAAAAAAAACTGAAATAAAATTATATATGAATAATATATTTTATATATTGAGGTTAAAAACCATAATGCATTAATTTTTTTCCTTAGGCCTTGAGGTTAAAAATCAATATATATATATATATGGATAATGTCGTGCGTTAATATTGAGAAAAGTTTTAAAAATGTGAAAACCATATTTGTTGTTTCTGGTCTAAAGATGGATAATGTCATTTTTTCTTGATATAATATTTTAATTAATATAATTAAGGAGGAAATAGATAAGGTAGAAGAAACAACATATTTAGACGGTAAAGAAAATAGAAGTTAGCTACAATAATAATAATAATAATAATAATAATAATAATAATAATAATAATAATAATAATAATAATAATAATAGAAAAAATTTACTTTAGTTAAAGAAATAAGAAAATAATGTAATTCACTATTACAGGAATATCACAAGAGTGCTAATTTCTTGAAACTTATTTTCACTTTAAGAAATCAAAGAGCAGATCGATTCTGAACTGCTTCACTCACTGCATCGGCAAAGTTTCCATCATTTGTTACGCCTGCAACAAAACCTCAGCTTTAACAGAAGTTGGGGTTCAAATATTAATATTTCAGATGGATCCTAATCAGAAAATTATATTGAGTACAAATTCTTTTGTTTCTCTTGTTTTCATCCAGGATTTTCTCTAAAGATGGGGAATTCTAAATTCATTACTTATCTTATTTCTTCTTTAATTAGACATATATAGGAAATAAGGTGAAGATACTGCGTACTGTTCATGATAACAATTATATATTTGAAAACTAAGTATTTAAGCAAAACATTTGAAGTTATTAAAATATAACATAATTATAGCTTCTTGTTTATTCAAAAGCATCGAAAAATTATAAATCCATACCTTTTCACAAAACTCATCAAAATGCTTATTATGCTGACTAATCTTCATTTTCTAAATATGCTATTAATAATAATATTAATACACAAATATTAATATTTTTTTTACATGAGAGACTTTTGATCTTACACAACTCCTCTCTCTTTCCGTTATGTTTAATTAATTTTGATTCTTTTTAAATCCTTTGTAATTTTTTTGACAGAAGGAATATGTAAGGACATCTCAAATCAAACATGAAACAACTCATTTACATTAGTATATTCTGACTTGAATAAGGAAAAAAAATACATAAATTCTTGTAGTTGGTAAGTAAAATAAAGGTATCGATATTAATCCCTATATCTAGCTTAAACATTCGTTCTAAGAAATGTCATTTTTTAAATAAATGTGCGTGAAATAGAGAACTAAGAAGAGATAACAAATTTATTAGCCTCAAACCTCTCCTGAGAGCAATGACGTAAAAGAAAAAACATAAAAGATCAAGATTCTAAAAGATTACAACCCCATAAGTACAAAATAAAAAAAATTAAGAAAAAGGTATGAAAATTACCTCCATATTAACTGTGAAACTGATACAATGTTTTCCAATTATATCACGGAGAAGGGTCATCAACTGCAATTAATCAACAACATACACAGGCAACAAACCAATTTAAATTGCAAGCTTTTACCATTGAACAAATAAATTAAAGGATTTTGGAGAAGAAAATGGAGTAAGAGATATTTATAAGCGACTGGAATCTGAAAAAGTTCAGAATTAACATATAGGTGCCAGGCTCCTTTTGTGAAAAAACTTCTTGTTACCTTCCTCCTAATTTATCCCCAGCAGATATCATGGGCTTATATTATTTGCATGCTATTGTTTAGAAAAAGAAAAAGTATAGTTACACTAATTCACACCTTGAATATTTATATAGTAGTTCGCAGGCCTATTTTTTAGAACAGGAAAAATAAAGCTACACTGATTCATAAATATTTGTTACAATCGTTCAACTATACTGAATGTAATGTCGTCCTCTTTAATTGTTACAACAGTTACAAAATTTAAAAGGATGAGTTGATTACGAATATGAAGGAACTCAACGTTAGAAGATAGGTTTTCTAGACATATTAAATTTAAATAAGATAAATAGAGAGATGAGGCAAAAAAATGCCAAAAAAGGAGAAAAAAGATAAATGTATTTCTTGATCAAAGAGACATGCCACATCACCTCCTTAAACCCTAGCTTTATATATAGAGAGATTAATTTAGTGCAAGGAATATCGCATCACAAGAATGAAAATACACTAAACAACACAACATGAAATTTGTTAAGTAGTGAAAGAAAAGTAAAGAAGAAACAAAAAAGCTTACAATTGTAATACCTGTGAAATTTTGATTTACACAAAGAGCACGATATGAATCTTCATCGTCCTCCTCTGTTTAACTCCCAAATTATACATTGACTTCTCTTGGAGATCAATTCCAAGTTTAAATGAATTCTTCTTTGTTGAGTGTAAGTATGTTATTTGTGCCAAGCTTTACCACACACAAAAAAAAAATGAAGCGAAAGAATGGGATTTAAAGAGGAAGAGTGCAGTATTGCAATTGTTAATACTTTAATTGTTACTACTTGTAACTGAAAGCTAGTATTTATTTCTAATCTAATTATTATCATTATATTCATTAATTAAGAGTTGCAACCGTTGCATTCCTATACATTAATAATTGCAACCGTCACTTTCCTCCTTGGATATTTAAGTTGAATAAAAACAGTTTTTACAACAAAATAGGTGGGAAAAAGCAAAAAAAACAACAAAAAAGATAAACCACATTTCTCGTCTAGGAATGATGCCACGTCACCGATATTTTTCCCAACTTTATATAGATATATAGATAGATGGATAGCTCGAATCGTCCATTAACATCCCTAGTGAGATATATCGTGTAATATACTTTATCTCATTTTTATTTACGAGTGATTACAACTTCTAAGAGACATCGATTTGGCTACTTAGTGATCTGTCTATTCCAAATTGAATGATGGGATTTCGAGTATTGACTTTTGTTTATGTTCTCATTTGAAACTGCTCCATCTTTTGAAAAAAGAAATACTAGTAAAAACTAAAAAGTTATATATGTAAGTTACATACAATAATAAGTTCCATCTTTGGATTAAATTTTCTTCATGATTAATTGATTCTGATTTGTTTTAGTCGCTACTTTTGGTTTGATTCTGTTCTGTTTTAATTTTTGTATTTGGTTCCAATTAATTGATCCATGGATGTTCTTGTTAAATTGATCTTAGCCCTGTTAGTTCATTGATTACCCTAGGTTGTAATTAGAATTAATTAGTTTAGGATGATCTTATCGGATTTGTTTGGCTTTAGCTGAATTTTTCATTTCTTTTGAATAATTAACCACAGTCACTAACTAAGGTAAAGGGGCTAGGTTCAGTTAATTCTAGGCTGGTAATTTCAAATTAAATAAAAGGGTAATTCAATGGAAGAAAATACTGCAAAAAATTCATTTGGAAAGTCCTAGAATATTCTAGATGGGGTGCCAATTATAATTTCAGAAACTTAGAGCAGTAACTTGAGAAACAAGTCAAGAAATAAAGGTCTAATTAATAAAAACTGAAATAAAAGAGGGGGAAAAAGGGGTGAGTGAAATCTGGAAGCTTCCCCCTCATTTCTGCCTATAAAAGGCAGTCCCCCTGCCTTCTTTAACAAGTTTTGGGAGCCCCCTGAAAATTCCCTAAAAGTTTAGATCTAAAAAATTTCCCCCCAAAAGCCTTCTGCAAGTTGAACAATCTAAAAAATTTGAATTTCAAATCCAAAAACCAAATCTGAATTCTTAGAGCTTGAAAGTTCATCCTAGATCTTAAATTTCCAGAAAAAACCAAAAAAAAGTTAGCAAAAACTCCAAAAACTCCAAAATAAATACTGTTTTATTAAACTTTCATAGCTTAATTCCAAGTTTTGACTATTGAGTTAAGTTTTTTAGCCTAGAGAAGGATGAAAATAGCTTGAAGATGATTGGTGTTTGATTTCTGAAACTCAGAAGCTGTCCTGGGTTTGATTTCGATTTAATTTGGTTTTGGTCAAGTCTGTTTTGGTTTGTTTCCTGGGTTGTTGGTCATCTGTCCACTATTCCTAGGGTATAGCGGTGCAATTTTGGCTTTGCAATTGATATAATTGTGGTGTTACTGCTGGTTTATCACGGCTGATTGTTGATTTGCTACTGCTGACTCCTTTTTCTTCCTTTTGCCTTAACTCAGGTACATGTTCTGCTCCTGCCTTGCTGTAGAACTCAATTTAAGAGTGAAATAAAGGCCATGCATGACTTCTCATGTTCAAACGCTTGATAACATTAGCCTCGCTGTGTTTATCAAACGCTTAGGAGTGCCTATCAAATGTTTACTAGATGTAATATCAACACCATACTGTTTGTTTGAAATTGATTCAGGAACTAGTTATGATTTCCAGCATTAGATTTCCATTACTCATTTGAGCCCAAAACTTGATGATTTCCTGGAAAACAATCTGCCAGTTAGCCTAAAACTGGGTTTGGTGACTGAGGTCCATATTTTCAAATAAAAATGATATCTCTTTCTATGGGCCAGCGTCGAGGCCCTAGCCGCTGAAAGCTTCACGTTATTTATTAACGTTAATGGATCTGACCTTTAAAAAATTTGAATTATAAATTTGGGCTTTCGAGTTAAGTAGCGAATTCAAATTACGAGGTTCTCCCCTTTTGTTTGAATCCGGACTTGAACTTGAGGTCCGAATTTTGTAATGCAAATTAATCAGGCCCTTTTAGAGACAAATTCAATAGAAAATAATAGCTTGCTTTAGGGTATCCTTAAATGTAACGAGGTGCGCCGTGCCAAACAAAATGCATAAATCGCGT